ATTAACTGGAAATTTCACTGTTTCTGTCAGCAGTTAGAGTTTATTCAAACAGATTGGTTTCCAAGGGACTTAGCTTTTACAGCTTTTTTTTTTTTTCTTTTTAGATTTGCTTACACAGTTAAAAGTTTTCAAAAATTAGTGAAAACTCAAACTCAGCGGAACACCATCCCAGACTGCGAGAAGTAAGACCACAAAATCAGCACCAAACTTAAAAAAAAAAAAAAAAATCCACACTAAGCACATTTACCTGCTTTGGGCAGAGAAAACCTGGCTTTATTTCTATTCTGTCTTTTTAAATAACGCAGTTTTCGAATGATAACACGAGTTGTGTGATGTCCAAACATCTGCAGTAAGAGACACCAGTTGGCTGAAGCACCCCCGCCCCCCCCCAAAAAAAAGGCAGCAAATGAAATCACTTGTTTTCAATAGAAATAGATGGAGTTTTAAAAACAGGAAAACGAGAAAGAGTCGAGTAGATGGACACTTGAGGTTGAAGAAGATTAACTTCATCAACTTAAATCTGCGAGACAGTAATTTACCAAAGAGTGATGCTGATGGAGGCTGGACTGGTAGTTTTCTACAAGAGTTATCAGATATCTCAGCCAACGTTCACTCCTCCAAAACATCATGTGCAGGTGAAAAAACTTTGATGAGTGTTGGTGACTGTACCAGAAATTCAAAGTGAGACATCTGCAAGACGAATGAGAGCATGGTGTATTGCTCTTTTTGCACCCAAATGACATCTGGAGTGGATGAAAAACCTGTTTTTGGAGGAGTCAAGGTGACACTGTCAAGATGCTGTGGGTGTATGAATATATCTGAGCCTGTGCGTTCAGTTTTGTATCTGGTTATTCCCGTGAATGACGTACATGAACCACTCACCAGCTCCGTATGCACACAAGTTCTGTGCATGGAAGAAGAAGCAGAGAAGACATCAAGAGGATTTTTTATTTTTTTTTTACGGGCAAATCCAATAAAGTCATATAAAGAAGAAAATAGGAGAAAATGGTATTACAAACTGAAAAAAAAAACCAGAATAAACACAGCTATGTGCAACTACAAATTATGTTTTAATTCAGAATAAGAATTTATGACAGCTTTTCATTTCAAAATACACATAAGCAGCTATTTAATTTAATCACCCCCTTTATGCAGTCTACTTTTCCCAGTTTGATTGTGTTTGACAATTTAATTATGAGGTTTATTCATACAGCGAAGTGAAGAATAATGCTCACATAAAAGCCTGCTGGCAGAAATGGACGCGTTCTTCTTTATGTCTTTAACATTAGAAGGGCAGGATGTCCCCATGCAGCAGCAGACATCTCCTCATCTTCATTTCTGGTAAATTTTAAGGACGATGAATTCCACCTAATTATGGTCGAACAGCGCCCAGCTTTCAGGGCACATTCACGGAGATGACTATTTCTTATGCAGATCTACCCTTTTTGGACAGCTTTATGACTCCACATGTTGTTCCCACTACCCTTTAGGTGTGTCTTTCTCGTTGGGGCTGCAGGTGTAATTGGCGAGCGGATGACGTACGGCGCGGTGCGTAATGTGCATGGACTCATGAATATTTGATGGTGAAATGCATTATCCCAGCGTTTCACAGTCAGCACCCGCTCTTGTTCGATCAAGTTCCCTGACACTAATTTGTCCTTGGCATGGTCAGTCTGTTCCTCGCTCCATTTTGGGTAGGAGACAATGCAAACAGTGGGTTTAATGCGTCATCCTCCTCCAGGAGGTTATAATGTCATCTTCCTGCATGACATATTAAATTGGGAGGAAAACAAGCAATGCTTGAATACATTTGTTTATATTTTTCTCTCAGAAGAGCAGGAAAATAACAGAATTTGTTTTTCTTTTCTTTGAGAACATCTGGGCATTGTCTGTTGCCTCTTGGCGATGTCATTTGTATCATGTCTACACTCACGCTTTTGACACTATGATGGAGTCTTTAAATTACCTGTTGCTGTGGCAGATGGCACGCTTTGTCATTAACAGCGATTGTGAGAGTCCCCCTGCATCCTGATGAATTATTCATCAAGAAACTTCGTGACCAATAGCGATATAATTTGTTTCTTCCAGCACCTTCAGAGGGCCAAATGAGAAGCAGAGTGCCGACGAGCGCTTAGTGAATTGTTACATCATCAACTATTCAAATAATGTGTTGGAACATAATGAGGATATCAACTGGTGCAACCTTTTGAATACCTCAGGCAGCCTGGGGATTTCTGAACCGGTGCCAAGCGTGTCCAGAAACCCGACCGGTCGGCTCCGGTGCAGCCCATCCGTCCCAGGTCGTGACTGGCCGTCTTCCAAACTGATGCCGAGAAAACTGGAAGCTGACGAATCTTCGGATATGAAAACAGTCAATAGGCACAGATTGTGGAGCTTCTCTTGTGATATATTTTTCGGGAAAAGGCATTTGTCACAGTCGAGGGCCAGCGAAGTGTGGCCACAAGATCAATAAAGTATAGGAACATGATAATTAAATTATGGCCATGCTTTGTTATTACTCAGCATCAAGCTGCTTAATCAGCTATTAACAGCTGATGCTAAAAAAGGCTTAATACACACAAAGCATGGAAAATTGATTTAATTTCATTTCACTCTAATCTAGGAATGAATCACATTGACATCCTGGATTCTCTGGTTAATAGAGTGTCATCATTATAGAAGTAAATTCAGCGAGAGCTCAAACAAAAAGGAGACAGTTCACAAGTTCTCAGTTGCTTCAAATCAACTGAGAACTTGTGAGGAAGGAGGAAAGTCGAGTACTCAGAATACAGAACACACGAACATCCAAACTCCCTTTAAAGGTATGGAGTTATTATAAGCTGATCTTCTAAACCAAAATAAATGAAAACTCAAAGTGAAACTTAACTTTAAATCCCTTCAATAGACCTATAATTCTCTCTACTTATCCTGCATACTCTGGCTCAGTGAGAACTATCTAAACTTGGATTATATCCCTCTTCTTGATGGGATTGTTTAAGATAAAGTAAGAAATTCATTCAACAGAGTTGTGACTCTGAAAATCTAAGAGTGGGTAAGAGGTCAGCAAATCCTACGCAGCAATAATACATTCCTTTGAATATTAACAGGGGAAAATAATTCAACAATCATCTCAGATCAAAGGTGTGTTTTTTAGCTGCTTTTCTGCGTCTATTTGACTTTCCAGTGGCAGATTAAATTTTATTGCAAAAAACAAAATGTATGCATATGCACTTGCCTCTGGGTGTTTCCTAATTAAAGCATCCCCGTTTTGCGAGGTCGTGATTTGATGGGACATGCAGATATTAGTTATCGGTTAAACTCACCCTCAACTCGCACATCAAACAGCACTGCTATCGTCATGTTGTCTGGAGGACAGAGAGTTGATGCTATCTCAACCCCACTCCTCTTCTAATCCTCCAATCAGTAAAACATGGCCAGTGCCGCCCCGCCAGACATAAAATCTGGTTGACAGATGCAAAACAGCTCTGGGCGGGGGGGGGGGAAGCCTGCATGCTCAGTGGCTAAGTTCTGGAGGAAAACGAGCCCTCTGGAAGCACCTGAAGGCAAAATGTGGTGGATTTAAAAGCTCTCTCTTGATCTTTTATCATGCTCCCTTTATTGAAGTTTCAGGATTTTGATGGGAACGATATAAAACCCTGATTGGATAGTTCGCTCACTTTTACGCCAGCTCAAAATCATACTCACAGAGGGAACCACAGCAAAAAGTGATTCATTTAAAATGTTATGTGATGGAATTGGGCTGAGAAAGACCTCTGATGCTGCAACGCTCAATTTCAATAAAGTCTCCTGAGTGTATTATCCGGACAGCTACAGGTTTAAAGATTTTAACTCGTTAAATCAGAGGTTTTCCTCTGCTCCAGTGAAAGACCTTCACCATCTATTGAACTTGCGCGGAAGTAAAAATCAACCTAAAATATCTGCGGCGAATGAACCCTGCAAAATGTATTTGTCTCACACATCCACAGTAGATTATTCAATCCATAAACAATTTTGCCCAAAGGAAAAGTTATTTGACTTGAACGGTTGCATTTGAAGTCTTTCTTCATAGCTCGCTGCAGCTAACAATGAAATGTCAACAACAGATTGTAACCTTTACTGACACTGAGCAGCACATTCATCACACCCACTGGAAACAGAGCCATGTAAAAAGTATTCACGTCCCCTGACCTTTCACACTTTTTATGGAGAACGTTTTCCTTCAGCGGCACTCGCTCGGCTTTCTTCTTTGCAAAGTAGCTCAAGCTGAATGTCAATTTTCGAGTCACAGATTTTCAGTTGTGTTTTTGGTCAGTACGTGTTGACACACATTACAGCACATTATGCTTTGATCTGGAGTGTGAAAGCTCAGGCTTTATGTTTTCTGATCTCGTCTTGCTGGAAGGTGTTGTTTTTGTGTCCTATAAAAGTTTTTTCTTCTTCAGGATAGTCCTGAATTTAGTTTCTTTCATCTAACTCAGCGGTGCCCAAAGTCGGCCGTCGAGGGCTGGGCAGCCTGCGTGTTTTAGTTCTCTTCCTGGTGGTAGTAACAACCTTATCAGCATATCAGTGTTCTTCTTTTTGCTCTAATGAGACATCATTTGATCCAGGTGTGTTAAACCAGGGAGAGAACTTAAACATGCTGGATGCCCGGCCCTCGAGGATCCACTTTGGGCGCCACTGATCTAACTAGTCCCACAGCAAGACCACCACGTTTCAGGGCAAGGTTGGTGTTGTGATTTAGTGATTTGCATGTTAAGAAAATAGTATCATAGTTTCTATGGAGATTATTTTTAAAATTTGACTTTCAGAATCCTCCCCTGATTGTGTGTATTGATCGGCTTTTTCCTTTCAGGGGCAGCCACAGCACGTCGTCTGCAGCTTCTTCTCTCACACCAGCTACCTTCGTGACGTCTTTCACTCCATCTGTAAATCTCCTCTTCGGTCTTCCTCTAGGTCTCTTGCCTGGCAGTTCTACCCTCAGCATCTGCATCATGGACCAATTTGAAATAAAAAAAAAAAACCCTTTATTTAGAAAAATGTCAGAGTCTTTGTCGCACCAGAGCAGTTAATTTCTGCAACTCCTCCAGTGATACCATAAGTATGCACTCTTTTTTTATTATTTGTGTGTACTTGTTCAAACATATAAAGTTTTATTAAAATAAATCAACGTTAATGGTTGTATTTTGACAAAATGGGAGAAATTTCAAACAATATTTTTTCAAGCCACTTTGTGGATTAAAGAAAATAAATACACAAATCCTTCTCCTGGAACGAAGGTGTGAGCCTAATCCTTGAATAAAATGCTTGGATGCAGCTTTTTGTAAGACACAGTCAGAGTAATATTTTCGTGCTTAAACAATGCTTCGTTTTTACAGTTCGATTCTATCAATAATACAATCTATGCCCATGAAGACAAATCCCTGCAGTACTGTGCTCTGTGCAAGTTAATCCTATTAAAATGCTTACTTGTTTCTTTGCACATTTTATCTGGATGTTTTTCTCCCTTTTGCGTGTAAGTCTGCTGCCGTGTGTGTGCGTGTGTTTAAAATCATTGATTGTGATTGTTGGTGCGGACATGCAGCTAACTTTTGCTCCTTGTTCCCTCTCAGACGCCTTCCGGAGGGTCATTAGCCGCAGACACTGCCACGACAGTTGGATGTCTCGTTGTTCTCTGCACACCAGGGGGTGTCCATCAATCAGAGAGAGAGGCAGCGCCGAGTGACGGATGGTTGATGGGTGATGACACTAAATATGCTGTCATTTTGTCTGAGACTGGTGCCTGAGTCGGTCGGTGGGCCCGGCTGAGTGTCAGAAGCAGCTTCAGTGACCACGTTTGCTAAAGAAGGAAGGTTTATGCTTTCTAATCTTCTTTCTTGTTTTTTTTCCCACCATTAGTCAAAGCCCTGACAGGAAAATATTAAATGGGACAAAGAAGCTGTGCTGCACTGGTCTGAATTGTTGTTATTTAACAACACTCGTAGCTCTTCTGAGATGGAAAAAAAAACAACACAATTTTTAATAGAAGCTTCTCAATGCAGGGTCAAGGTTAATGGATCTCGTTGTTATTCTTTCATCTTGTTGCAGTGTTCCTATCAGTCTCTACCCGAAATTCTGACCTTGAGGCCACACCGTAACCCCTCGGGATGTTGTTTTGCACTAAAGTCAATTATGTTTTAGTAATGCATACCGTTAGGTAGCAATCCCCAGACAATCAGTCACTGTCTGCACAAGCTGGCCGCACTGGCTCATCCTCCTCATCTCCCATCCCATTATGTTGCAGCCCAGGTGGGGATATGTGTAAGGAAAAGGGAATTTTCCAGCAAGGTCACTGCTTTGCTCAGAAAACGCAGCTTTCTGCATATCTAAATCTGCATGACTCAGGATGAATTATCCAAAGTTTTCATCTTAGCCGAGAAATCTCCATTGAGTGGGTAGGTCTTGCTATTCCAATAGATTCCCCAAAAAGTGACGTGTTTGTTTTTTTTAAACACACACAGACGCAGCGAAGGACTTTTTCTCATTTCACCGTGTAATCTCGGCCACTCAGCCGCAGCCTGTCTCTGCGTTGCATAATAGCATCAGTTGTGGCTGGGAGGACGGGATAAAGACGGAGAAGAAAGCGAGAGCCTTTACATGGGAACATTATGAGTCTGGTCACAACAGCCCTTTGAAAAGCCAGATCAATACCATTTCTGTGACCAATTTTACAGTTCTGTGGCTCTGTTGCCTCTGGAGTAATAAAGCTGTTTTCTTCACTCATCCCTCAGTCTTGGCTGCACAGTGACTGCTGGCAATATTATGGCATCATGTTTTATTTCCTGCTATACAGTCGATCACTTTGACCAAAACTCAAGCTAAATGGTAAATAAATAAAAGATGAACATTTTACTTACAGGATTTTTTTTTTTTCTTTTTAGTTTAAATAGCTGATTGTCACCTGTGGTGCCAAACTAACCGACTCTCGGAGCAAATGAACAGATGGTTAATTTGTGGAAGGTCGGCTGGATTTACACTTTGCTCTCATGTCACAGAGGTTTTTTTGCACAGACAGTCAGAAGACAGCCGGTCATCATCATGAAATCCCAGGCTTCATGCTTTAAATAGATAAGGTGTTGTAATGTCTCAAAGTCTGTATTTAAGCCCAAAATCATTCATACTTTTTGCATCTTTACATTTAAATTGATTCTCATTCAAGAAGTTTATTTAAATTGTGTAAAACACCTTTCTCAGTATTTAGTGGAAAAAGCAATTGAACTCTTCTGACAATTATTGACCAGGGTTTTGCATTTTTCAGATATTTTGGAGATTTATTTTTGGCAATTTTCTCCATTTATTTGAAGTTGGAAGGCCTCATCACTATCACCCTAATCTGTATCTCCCTGAACAGATTCTCTGTCAAATTCAAGTCCAGACTCTGGCTCGACTTCCTCAAAACATTAATACTATTCCCAGTCAGAAAACATGTAAGTAAAATTAAAAGATTACTTCACAACTCAAATTTGCCAGGGTTTGTCAACCTGTTAATGTTGTCCGTGTTTCTTGGAATAATGTCCTAAATTTGTTGCCATCCCAAGTGTGCAAACAGCCTTAAAATAAATTAACCTTTTATAGCATTAGCATAATAACCCACTGAGAAAAAAAAAGTTAAATTAAACATTTATTTTGAGCACTAACATTCATCCAGCAGAAAACTTAAATTAAGAAGTAATTAATGTCACCTATCAATATCTTTACAAATAAATGTAACTGAATGGGTTTTCATTTTATACTTTTCTTTTTTTTAGGTTAATCAGACTTTCAAGGAACTTGTATAATTTGTAATCCACGTTAGTGTACAAAGGGGCTTAAAATTACACCAAAGAGGGGCCCATTTCTTTTAGTAACTGAACTAATATTTATCTTGGCAACAAAATAAATCTGGAGCGAATAGCAGCATCTTGAAATCAGCAAGTCTTCATAACGACCATTAGATGCTACCTAAATCATCTGTTTGGGAAAACGCCTGTTCTGTCCAATATCCAAAGCGTAAACATGTAAAGTTTGTTAAAACCTACCGGGACTTTAACAGGAACCACATGTTTTGTTCAGGCTGGGATTTTCAGAAACAATGGCTCTAGATTAAGAACAAATTGAGAATGTATGGAAAAGTACAATTTCTGCACTGTCAAGTATGGTGTAGGATCTGTGATGCTGTGGGCCTGGTTTTTAGTTAAACATCTCTTTGGGGTCCCAGAAGAGTTTAGATAGAATCATAGATTGGGGCGTAACCTGGTCTTTCATGAGGCTAGTGATGACCAAACCAACACAGAAGTGGTTCAACTAGACGCTAAATAAACTTCTGAGTTTCTTTACCTTATTCTTTAGAAAAACCCTAAAGAGCCGAAGAGAAGAAGTCATAACAGTCAAATTTTATAGGAGGAAGACCGAGCGCTCTGCTATTAGCGAAAAGAGAGTAGTAAAACGTAGCAGGGATGCCATTAAAACAGAAGAAATAAAGGGATTATTGGATTTTACTGCAATGAAATATTAATTTACACATTTTGGATGTCAACAAATCTACCGAGCAGTTTGTTTGTACATAGACGTTTGTGCTATGCAGGAAAAAAAAAATGCATTTCTGTTCTCCAAGTTTGTAAATAGAATAAATATGTTTGTTGGACCTGAAGGAAAGACAGTTTGTTTCATCCTCTGGCAGGAGAGTTTAATGACACAGCAGATGCTCTCTTCCGAAGTAGAGCCAGGAATCTGCGATTATTGGCGTCTTCCTGGGTTTCATTTAGTAATCAGAGTTTACTGAGACGCTTTAATAACCTTGGAAAACAGAACTTAATGTCTTATGTTTTGTTATGCTCTCTTGCTCGTAAATCTTCAAAACATTGCTGGTTGCACTGGGACAGATGCAGTGCCTGCAAGACGTTTGTATAAATATCCGTTTAAATTGTGGCTTTTAAAGACACATATGCCTCAGATATATACGCACTCCCGGTAACATATGAGTAAACAGCGCTTAACAAGTTTCAGGTAAGCCTCACACTTCTTAAGGCCATTAAGAAGCTTCTGGCGAAATTCAGGCTGGAAATTTGAGCCCTCTGCTCTTCACGGCAGGCTATGTTCCTTTAAATTACAGGTTTACTGGCAGAGACACCATCTGTCTGTAATGACAGCAAACTAGTTTTTAACAGAGTTCTGGTAAATGCTTCAACGTCCAGAATGTCGTGATCCCACAGGCTGATTGCTTTATTTGGAGTTCTGTACGTTGGGTTATTTCTGTATTTTTATTTATTTTTTTTTTTTTTTACATATTTAGTTCTGTTTATTTAAGAGTTTGGTTTTACTTGAAATTGTTCTATGTTTCTGTCCTGTCATCAGTCTAGTCAACCCAACTCGTTGTTGTTGCTTCCCACTCAAGCTGCCATTCATTTTGTGGATTTAGTTTTCAAAGAGCAATCTTACTTTCAAAGTATTTAACCTCTCGAGTGTCTTTAGTTTCTGTATTATGCTGTTCTTGGACTCAGGAACCTGATTTTTACCCTGTCAAATCTATCATTTCACGCTCCTGCCTCTGTCCTGCTGCCATTTGGGTTAAACAGCTGTCAAATATGACGTTTAATTAATAATTTCCATGCCAACGAGGGGTAAAAGTAAATCCCTATGAATAATGTCCGTGCAATGATTCTGTTATGTGATTTTCATTTGCAAGGACAGTAAACATCTCTGTGCCTCTTTTCTGTCTGCATTCGTGTTGATGTCACAGTTACGTAAATTCAAAATTAAAAGCAAAGCAAATAATCTCTTTTTTTTGTTTTTCAGTAGTATTGGATCTTCCTTCTTAAAATCACATGATGTAATGTTTCTAACACAAGCAGTTTTGTAACTCACTTCCTTAAAGCAAGTTATCGAATGGATATCTCAAGAAAGGTAACTTAACTCATGGTGTTGCTTGTTTTCCTTTTCAAAAGTGTTTTCAGAATCACACCAGCACACATAAACACCTAGGGAATAATTTTTGTCGAAGTAGCTGTGTCAAACTTTAGGGAGTTCCTCAGTTTATAAAACTTTAAAGAGGATCCTTTTAATTAGACTGAGGCGCTTCTCATCCTTTACACACTTCTCTTGTCTGGGAAGAATCACTGCAGCCCACCTTCGCTGTCCACCTCCACGTCCTGCTGCCAGGAGAGAGTGAAAGTATTTGGTTGACTGCACTTTAGTTTCAAAAACTTGACTCCTAACACTGTCTCTCTTGGGAGAGTGGGAGGGGGAGTGAAGAAAGTCCAGTAGATATACGATGGATGAGCTCATTTATGTGCACAGCGTGTCGACCTGGAACCGAGCTGAAGGAAAGCCCCCGAATTCATGGTTAAAAGATACACTTGCTGTGTCATAAAATGTTTCTGAACCTTAACCTTACATAGAGAAAGAAAGATTTCCTACACACACACACAACAAAAAAAAACTACCTTTATTGGAATCCAATGCCAATAAAATAAAATAGTGAATTTAAATAGTTTAAATTAGATGTCTGATTGGTAGATTGTGAAAATATGTGTTAAGCAATATAACAATTATTAAGCCAATCGAAGCAAAGAGGATATAAACCCAGAGAGCAGTTTTTTGTATAGGAGTAAATGTTTTATCTAACCTGGTTAGATTAGTAGATTAGAAAGCAAAATTGTCAGAGATTTTGTTCATATAGCTCTATGTTTAAATGTCAAAATGTCATGGAAGTTTTATTTTCTTTTAATGTCGTCTCAACCTTTTACCATAAGGCAGCACATTTTAGAGCTAATTAAAAAAAATCTATTTAGCAAATTAAAAGAATACTTATGTTTTGAAATATAGAGTAGCTTTATGTTTTTTTTTAATGGTTTTTATATTTTCACTGAGAAAAGGAGATCACAAAAGCAACAGTCACGCTGTTGCTTTTCTCTGGATCTGTTTGTTTCACCCTGCATGGGAACAATTTCATGTTCTTTTGAAAATTATTTCAAGAAATAGAGACAGTTATGACTAAAATTGTTAATACTCCTGCAGATTCGGGTTGTCATGTTTCCTCTGACTTCCATGGCAACAAACCAACCAATGGACGGTCTTAAACTTTGCAGCCTGAAAGAAAAAGGAGCCGTTTCTTCTACCAACAAGAAACGGCACTCTAAATCTCTTCAAACTACTGCAGGTTGAAGACCAGAGCTAAAGCTGCAGATTTGTTTCAGAAATGACTCTAAAAGAGTCACTTTTACTTATTGCTTTTAAATGACCCCCTTAAAGAGATCCTCATGAGATAGAAACGTTAAATTACGTTTCACAGTTCAGAGATCCTTCAGGCTGTTATCCCAGCGGCGTTCTGTCCCCTTGCCAGACAAAAACATTCATCATATTTTATTTGATCTTTATTCACATTTAACAATCATCTCCTCCAGATGCTGATCGCCTGAAAGACAAAAGTAAAAAAAACGTTCTTTCATGTGGCTGTAAAAAAATTATATATTTGTGGGAAAGCTCTAATAGCAGCTATATTGTTAGTACCAATAAAAACACTCTTTTGCCTGTGTCCTGGTTAATTGGCTTATTTGTTTAAACGATTGCGTTTTTCTAAATAATGCGAGGTTTCAGCTGCTTCACTTGTTTTCTCTCTCCGTCCTGTTTTTTTTTTTTGTCTCAAATTGATATCAACAAAAACACCTGTGACTCTGTCCTGTCCTCAGGCAGCCATGTTCCCCAAAACATGTCTGAGCCAAAACCTCACAGGAAGATTGATAAAGGTTTGTTTAATGTTTAGTTTCACATGACCTTTCAAATGAAGGCTTTCTGTTCGTTTTCTTAAGTTCAGAGCATAATTGTAGAGTTTGGCCGTCTTTTATCTTCTCGTGCTGTCTCGGATGCTCTTTCAACATCCCACATCCCTGTCGGACAGAGTTAATTGGAAAATTAAGTGGAGGATTGTTTGGTTTCCCTACAAAGACATTACTGTGCTACCATTTCATTAACCCCCACTTTCTTTTTTTAAATATGACTCAATCCCCGTCACTGTTCCCAATCTTCTTAATATTCTATGCTTCTTTTACTGCTATATCTAACTTAAGCATCATCTCTTTCTTTGTTAGCCTTTCTGAAATTTTAAATGCGAACAGACCAAAACCCTGCCTCGATTTCTGAGATCCTTGTACCATTATTGTCGCAGAGTGCTACTTGAACATGTTTGCTGCCACTCGTGTGTTTACAGGCTAAGCAGGAGCCTGGGCTTATTGGATGGTCAGTTTATCACAGAAAACCAAAAAGCTCCCCTGCAGAGTTGAAAGCAAACCCTCAACTACAATTGAAGCAGCAGCCATGACAACTCAGGCAGGCAATTAGAGCGCTTCGAATCCCCGTGTTTGTTTGCTAGAATTTGCATCATCAAGCTTCACGTAGTCTTGTTTCGTTACATCTTCAGTGATCAAGATTTGCCCTTGAAGTTTATTAAATGGGTAATACCACACTGGAAATGTTTTTTTTGTTGTTTTTTTTTAGGTAGAGGTTAGTCACAAAGAAAACCTCAAATGAAATCACAAGAGCTGTGTACAAAGTATGCTTTTCTGGTTTGAATATATATTACAGACACCTTTAAGGTGTAATACGGGGAATTGTTGTAACCCTCAAATAATGTGACACTGCAAAAATGCATTTTTTTAATAAACAATTATTTTTGTTCTCACATCACTTAAATAACACTGAAAAATAGTAAATTAAAAAAAAGGGACCCTGCATAAGAGTGGGATGTCCCACTCTGACTGTCTTACAGTGACAGAAATTCAAAGAGGGAGGTGTCACTCAACACAATCAAGAAAAAGAAAAGAATATTTTTAAATCTCAGAAACAGTATGAAAATATTTTTGAGTGTTTTGGACACCGCATCTGCTGTATATTTCGTCAGCTTCCTGATCATTAAACAGATTTCGTTTGCATATTTCCAGCCTGTGGCTGATTTGTGGTAACTTTTACTTACAGCAGCGAAGAAAATAACTAAGTCAATCCAACGGATGCAGCTGGTCAGAGAGGGGAAAAGTTTACAGTTGGCAACTCTACGTTTTCTTGATGTGCTGGTAATGAGACAGGGTTGTTTTGGTGGGGTTTATATGTGCTTTGTGGCTGGAAGGAGAGAAATCTGGCAGAGGACACAGTTTCATAACTCTGTATTGACGTCCAGCAAACCCCTGTTATAATTTGTGGTTAGAAAAGACCTAAATTAAGAGAAAACTGTAATCCAAATTGGAGAATGTTAATGAAAATTCATAAATCTGTGCTAGGAAAAAAGTGGCACATAAAAGCAGGAAGATCAATGCAGATAGTGAAGAGAGATTTTTACAGAAGAACATGAAAAACAATGAAAATCCAGGAGGCAGAGGTGGAAAATGACAATGAACTAATCATAGGAAATGTGGTACAGCTGTGGCAGGTGGAGAGGAGGGAAACTGAGGAAGACTAATAAATAAATACAAAAAAAGAGAGTATGCTGAGCTCCATTATTCTTGGAGCTTACTGTAAAACATTTAACTTGTCATGTCTTTTTGTTGTCAGAAGTCATTCGAGCAAAGAGGTGACAATGGATGACTGCAGGGCAGATGCTTAGTCAGAATTTGGAGAGCAGATCCGTGCTAAACAGGTCAATCCGCTGTAGAACCGTAGGCCCGCGATTATCCCAACTGGCTGCTTGATTTGGGTCTAAGAAGAAAGAAAGTAAATGGTCATGGCTCTTTTGTAATTTATTGTGGGCACACAGACAGAACAATAATGTTTTGTTAATGTCTTTCAGTGCGAGAGAGCAAAAGCATATTTCAGACAATGTGTCTTCTGGGGATAAAATTTTAATTAAATGTCCTTACTGGACATTATCCAAAAGACAATTGTGCAGAATTTTAAGCAGCTTTGCTGAGAACAACCAGCTTTAAGCATTAAAAATTAAAATAAAATGTTTGAGAACTCAGTGTGAAGCAAAGACCCACATTTGACAACTTTATTGCAGTTTTTCAGAGGGGAAAAAAAAATAAATCTCATTCTGAATTTTAATTTATGCAATATTTCATGTATTCCTAAAATCCAGGCCCACAGCAGGACTGACCCAAAAAGCAACAAAGCTGACCCACATTTTGAGAATTAGGTCACAAAATCCTTCTGTCTTGCTCGGAAAGCATCGGAGGATCTATCGGAGCACAATGAGGAGTTACGTAATTCTGGCACAGATAAGAAGACAACTAAATCTAATTAGCACAAACATTAGGAATAAAGAAAACACTGATAAGGACAGTAATGAGTTTTTTTTTTTTGGACCTGAACACATAAAATATGAGAATTTTCCTCCTCGTAGCTTAAAGGATCACACATCTTTTATTGATAATATACTGCTTAAGATGGTTTAGAAAGTAATTGCGATAGTGGGTTGATACATCAAAAATCTGCGCGCCTATTTCCCAAGTGTGATGTTTTTGGATTTCTGTTCTGCGTGTGTCTGACTCAGCCTCTAATAGACACCCAATTTCATGGAAATTAAAAGGATCGCTTCCTTTTGAAATGTAAATCGGGTATGTAGATTTAGGACGAATCAAAATCGGCCTCCCTCGTTGATTCGTAGTTAAATAAGCTTCTCAGGACCAGAGCCGCTGTGCTGGCTGCCGACTCCAGATTCAATAAGGATCGGCGAGAACTCCCAGACTGCTTTATTGGCGAGGAGGCGGCATCACAATTACTGTTTCGACCGAACGTAGTCATGTTGGATAAATCAGAATATCCGTCTGATTAGGATTGTTTGTCCCAATTAAGAGTACCTTTTGAAATGAGTTTGTCAATTTAATGAATGTGAGTGTACGTACTGCACTGATGAATGTAGCTTCATTCATCAGTTTTTTAAACTGAAAAATTAAAATGGTTTCAGTTTAATTTTATATTCCGAGATGTTACAGGAAAATGATTTATTTCACCAGCTCAGAGCAAAAACAATGTCATAGAAAAGTTTGTTTTGTTTTTATAGCTTCTATGAAATTACAACTGAACATCCCAATGTCTGCAATGTCTGCAAAAGTCCAGCCTTAGATGAGTCGGATTAAAATTACAGACAAAACAATCCAGGAAAAAGATAAGTAAAACAAAACCATTCCAGCTATAATCTAGAATGTTGCAAAAAGTACTTCAACTTCAATTTCTAGCTGAAATTATTTACTTTGGTGTCGACATTGTAAGTTATCTGCCGTTTAATTTTTGACAGAATTTATTTACCCATAAAAATGCGTTTTCTTTCGTTCATTTCTTCTTTTACTCCAATTATCTTTGCACTGCTTTTGCCTTTGTTCTTTTGCTTTTCTGTATTTGTTTCTCTTCCATTATTGATTTATGCTTTTCATTGTGCAGCCAAAAGGAAACAATATTTGTTTGTTCTGGATCAAACAAACAAACAAAAAATCCCAAAAGCTGAACACATTTTGTGATCTTGCTGCTCTTACAGATGCCATGTTTTTGTTAATATTGTTAATATGGAGAGTCTTTCTCCATATTTACAAGGTATAAACAATCTATCATGGCAAAGAAAAAAAAATCATAACTCCTTTGGAGCTCCCTAAAAAATCTGCAAAAAAAAAATGTATATCATGAAATGATTTCCTGCGAAAAGTCTGTGAAAATAGCATAGGATGTTTGTGTTTCACAAAAAATAAAAATACAATCTGCCATTTGTGTGTGTGTGACTCTTCATATTCTTGTCATGTTTCAATGTTTGCTTGCAGTGAGTAGACAGCCGGCTCACAGTGAAGTGATTCCCCAACCAGACGATTCAGTGCGATTGTCTGCTTGAATCCATCAGTGGTGATATTTTATTTTCGCAAGGTTTACCTCTGTCACTCACAGTGTGACTGCGCAAGTATATTGTCTGCACGTATCCTCGAAGTGATTCTGTAAACATGCAAACTGCAGATTAATTATTGATCCTAATACATCAGATTTTAGTCATAGAACAAAATCTGAATGTAGAGGAAGGCATTTAAAATTTAGCCTTGGGTTCTCCTGACCTCCGACTTGAACAGATTTTATATTCAAGGTCTGGATTTTATGCGAAGACGTCCTCCAGGGATCCTCACTGCCCTGGCTATAAATTAAACACCCTTCCTTTTTATGTCAAAACAGAAGTCAGAATGTCAAAAAGTTGCCAGCACTGTTCAGGGTGTTCTGGAAAAATGGGTCAGGTATAATTTCTCACTTTACTAATGAACTCCCTGCGCTCTGAGCGTCACACCTGTGCATTCAATTACTGCAGCGAAACAGGGAAGGAAATCCCAGCAGCGTGAGTCCAGCCATCCGGCAGACGCTCGGGTGAAGCCAAAGCAGCAGTAGCAGCATAATGTTGCAGATTTTTATTATAAGCAGGGTCCTAATGTACCAGGTTTGAGCGGGAAGAGTCCCAAAGGCAGATTACATTGCCAGTTTTTGTCTAACCTGTCGCAAGATAAGGCATTTCATTTATGCATTTATGTATTTATGCATTACGCTTTCTCCTGTTGTTACTATATAAATGTATTTGAAACGCTGCAGCGCAATTTGCATTCAAACATAGCTGTTTTACCTTTTGCTTTTCCATTTATTTTATATCTAAAATATTTTCAATTTATTCTTATTCTTATTATTATTATTATATCCCAATCATTTGGGAGATGAGATTAAAGCAGCTTTGCAGAACAATGCGTGCCGGCAGCACCGGTCAGTGTCACGCATCGTTTGGTGTTTGTCATCAGGATGCCACTGTGACGATCCTGTGGCGACACATGCACTGTAAAAGTGATGAATGATTGATCTGATCCACGTCTAACACAGCCGCAGTTTCTCCTACATGAGTAATGAGGTCCTCTGTGAGGTAGAGTTTATTTTAAACAACTCGGTGTTTGTTCAGTCTCTCCTAACTCTTTCATCTGCTTGTTGGCCCTCCTCTCCTGAGGATTTGTTATCTCTGGAACATGCCGCTGGACAAGGATTGTTTCCGATCGGACACGAGCCACGCGTCCCCGCAGAGGGCCGGGATCGGATGCTAGGCCACGACTTGTGGTCAGCCAAAGATTATCTGATTATGTTTGAGTTTTGCACACCAAGTGTAACCGTACTGACTCTGAGAATGATTTGTTCGCTCTTAAGAAGGAAAGTCAATTTTTGTCGGATAATTGGGTTTGGAAAATATTCCAACAATTCCTCCCAAGTATACATAAATGTCTGGTACTTTCTGATATATTCACCTGCACATTTATCAGCTGAAAACATACACTTAACTTCAAGTTTAGTTTTCAGATTTTAGCCAAAAACTTTACAATGCCTTACAAAAGCACATATAGCTCCTGAGTATTTGTGTGTTTTGTCATCTTACAACAACCAACAGCACATCACATCATTGTGATATGTGGTTTTCATTTCACACTGTGAAGAAGTTTAAGGTCTATAAGTACTTTGGTTAAGTACTGCATGTTTAAGCCACCCAGATCCGATAAGCCAGACTTCACATCATAGAGTTTGGGGCTTTGTCTGGTCCAGTAGGTGGAAATAACTCATTTATTTTGAGGGGGAAACTGCTTCAGGAAAGAGATTATGTGCCCGAGAGGCCCAGTGGCTTGGAGCACAAAGCATGAAGCAAAGTGGGTTTCTTTCACGCCGTCTTCTTTGTTCTCAGTAAATCTAGTCTATGTTCACTTACAATTTTTAGAGAGGCAAACAAAGGGGTAGAAAGGGGGTAGATACAAAAAGAAAAACTGGTTTAAAGATTTAAAGAAATACACAATGACTAGAACATAGGAGTGAGTGAAAGTCACTTTAACATAATCTAACATAACACTTAAAACAGGCTTGATTCAAAAATTTGTCATGCAAGCAAATCTCAGTCCTGTTTGTGTAATTTCTTACATTTCTTCATACACCTTAGACTGTCTTGTTCTGCTCCTTTTCCCCTCTAATCAGCCCCAATCTTATTGGATTGCCATTGAATTAAGTGGCAATTTCAGGCTGTGAGAATGTTATGTGGCTGCAAAACCTTTTCTAATCCAGGCATGCAATTCCATGAATAACATTTGTGGAACCCTAACTTTCAGAAAAGTCGTTACATCTTCCTTTCTGTCTTAATTTTCCTGTTTTTGCCTCTTCTTTTTAACGTCTTCTCATCTCAAGCTGTACACCACGGCCCCATCCACTGTGTGTGGATCTCAATGTTCAGCCTGCAGATGATTGCAATATTCTTCTCATGCAATGCTGACAATTAAGACGAGCTCCTGGAGGGGGAAGATGTATGTGCAGACAGCAGCTGTCTGATTTAGATATATCAGTGCTATTAAAACACTTCTCATGAACAGCCCTGTCCTTCAGTTCTGCTGCCATTTTAATCTGCTGTCTCCACAGCAGACAGGAAGCAACACAGAGGGAGATTTGGTTTCCAAGAACGACTCCTCTAATAGAGCTACAGATCCTGCATGGTAATGATGTGGATATGTAGAGTAAGATTAATTCTGTGCATTTTTATCCATAGATTGATAGGAATGTTAATCTAATCAGTGAAATGCTACCTGTTTTCGTCGATCAAACATTTCCTTTAAAGAATTTATCTAATTCTAAATGAAGGCCTGGAAATTTTTTACCATAGCTGCCGCTCTCTTGTCTCAGTTCGATTTGCGGCTTGGTGCCGGATGCTAATTTAATAAAAACACTGCCAATCAAATTTTCTATTTTCCTCCGTTGATGGTGTGACCTCCCTGTGAATAAGAAATGGGGAAGGGGTCACTGGCTCGTCTTTCAGTCCGTCACTCGTGTGAGCAAGTTCGGTTGATCAGCCGCCACCTCAGCCTTGACAAGAAAACTAGGAGCTGGCTGGTTTACAGTCTGCAGCTGCGATGCAAATTATGGATTTGTGTGCCTCGCTGACAGTTTTATTCTCACATTTCCTAACAGATTTCAACATTTCTTAACAAACCACTTTTCAGGATTTGAACCTGTGAATGCATTTTGTGGGAATACTTGAAGTAAGGATATGCAACACGTTGGAATGAGAGCAGCTCTAGCAGATTACTTTTATAAACAGATTATCAAATATTTTATAGAGATTCGGTTTTTTTAAGCATTACTTTCTGTCTAGCATTCCACATGATTATTGTTGTCAACAGATCTTAGCTGAGCTAACTTTTCTTATAAAACAGCTCTTACATGAACGGTTCTGATTATTATGAGACTAGATTTGTAATCATTCGGAACTGGTCCCGCTCTAAATAACCATCGTGTGTGTGTCAAACGTGTGTGAATCCCAGAATACCTTGCAGGTGTGTTGGTGTGTCAATCGGGTCAGACGAGTTCCTTTCTTCTGCTGACATTCATTAGCGACCTCTGTCACCTCAGGCCACCTTTTCTAAAAATGGCCAAACAAAAGATGGTAAAATAAGCTTTCCACACAGGTAGGAAACAAGCCATATGTTCACAGACCTGTTTGTTTTGTGTGCATAGAATATATCAGATTTGGATTACAATTTCATAAACTCTTCAATTTTGGTCCACTGTCTATTTGAGGGATTAGGAAGTTAGTTACAATAGGCAGGATTCTGATGCCTAGTAACTTATATTTATATAAAAAACTCAATTCATACACATCAAATATGTTTCTTTAAACTGTTTTGCACATGCAGAAATATAGCTATCAAAGAACTACATGTTTTATATTCTAGAGCCAAAAAGTATCTGCACAGACTTTACAGGAAATCAGTTATTTCAAAACACAGTTTTCCAATGCAATAAAGTATTTTCAATACATTCCTCTCTAATACAGAAATGCTATCACCACATCTGGATTTTATGTTAATGTTTTTCTATATTATGGTGGTGCTATTTAACCATATGAGTAAAACAGAGATAAGATCTAGAGAAAACAGAAATTTTCAGATGCTTTGACACACCACAGCTTTCACAGTTTTTGACATGAAAACTAATTTTCCATTTCTGCAAATTAAGCTCAAAGTGGCCTTTCAAGAGAAAACGTTTAAATCCCCAGGTGGGTGCTGGTCTATTAGGTTTCCAATAGTTATTTTATCTATATATTTAATCTTTGCATTAAGAAATCACATTCAGATTTGCTGTAGCTACTTTTTGGGGGGTTCGTCTCTGTTTCATGCATGGATACAAAAGTTTGTAGTTTCATCACCACTTTCCAGGAAAATTTGACTAGATACTTGACTACTTTCTGCTGTAACTCT